ATACAGGTCGATTTGTATTAAATGACTTTTGATAATCAACCACGCACTACTTTTCGAGTTCCACGTTATTGAAACGGTTTAAATTTTACAATTTAACTATTAATTTTCTATTCAATAACCAACTCCACGGATTAGGGATGAGGAATTCAGTGTCTGCCCTTTTTCGCTAAAATTTGTATGATAAAATTGAATCGTTTTCTTTAATACTTCTCTATTCTATAGTTATGAAGATTCTTTCTTTAGTCGTATGAATACTATTCTTCCAAGTATTCAATTTATTAAAGAGATCGGTAAGCTTGATGGCTTATAACGCTCAAATTCTGGCGTGATGCTCGTGGTGGGCACAGCGCAGATAGCCCACTGTGTAGCTTTACGCTTAAACACAAACAAACAATGCTGAAAAAAAAATCATCAATTTTATTTTACAAAGGTTTCATTTCACAGCAATGAGCATAATTAAAAAAAAACGTCAGAAAATATCCAAGTTAATATGGAAGAAATTTAACCTCTTTTATATATCATCATTGTGCCGTATTTGAACTGTTTTTACTGGTTTAATGTGTACATTATGACATCTATAATTATTCCAAAATTCCCAGAATTATTCGATTTGAATTTATCGTAACAAATAGAAGCAGTTTTGTTTCACAATTGTACATACAACAAATAGAACCGATATTGTTTTGTTTTTTCTAAATTCTACTTCCCTAATGAGTACTGGCTAATAAGGCTAGAATTGTTTCACTCTACACTCCATACTGTCCTTATATAAAACACAAATTAAATCGGAGTTATTTTGTCTTCATACTGACACATAGGCAAATAAAACTGGAATATTTTTTTCTTTTCTAAATTTTACTACCCTGATAAATCACAGAAGAAGAAAAACGAAATTAGAATCGTTTTATTTTAAATTCTATTTTTTTCTTTATGCGCACAAATAAACAGTACTAGGATCATTTTATTCTAAATTCTACTATCCTCACAGAAGACAGACAGAAGAAAACTGATTTTTTATTCTCACTATCCCGTGTTTTCTATGGCCTGTGGGCGATATTCTGATTGATCTACAGTTTTTTGTCTATATTATGTGCAAACATTGTTTTATATAATTTTATCATGAACGAGTGACAGCGACTAAAATTAGATTATCATACCAGAAAATAGTTTTGTACCGAAATCCCCATTCCAATGCTATTTGTCTGAAGTTCAGTTCAAAGTTATATTTTAACATATTATCGGACATGTACATATTCAGTAAGCAACTTTATCTTCCACATCTAAATTAAGTATTTTCTCTCATCCCCCCTCCACCATTTGCAATATTTAATCTTTAGATTATTAGACAAATGATTTTTAAACAGTGAAACAAGCAGATAGACGTACAAGATAAACTAAACCAGCACAGCAACTTTTCTTCGGCCAGAAGTAATTAAGAACTTTATATTATGAAAAGAAAAGTTTAGGCTTAGTCAGATCACGTTATTCTCTTTCCTTCGGTGTTGTATAGCAACATGAAAATTTTTCGTGATAACAAGTTAGAGTGGAAAGTTATAATCTTCAAAGAACAATTGATAGATTGATTATAAACTAGGCTTAACTTCACTGATGTTTCTCTCACTATTCTTAGCGAGAGTATTCAGTTTAGTGATCATCTAAAAGGCGAGCTTATCTTTCCAAAATTTGAAAATATATACTACAGTAGTCAGTGAAGGGCTAATAATATCTAAAAATAGTTTTAATTAAATCATTCGAACTATTTATTAAACACATACATTGATATAATCAAAGGCTAAGTGCTTAATGGAAAATATCATTTTGAGCCCAACGTAACTCCTTGTTTGGTATTGTAATCTTATCTTAGAGATTATTCTAGCATTTAACTTTTTAAGGGTTAACGCCACCTGGAAGAAGTGGTATGTTGTTATAGCAGACGTTTCGGTCTCTATGAGGTCAAAGCTCGAGGCAGATGTAATCCTCTAAAAATACAACAATAGTTACTACGTGCTCTGCCAAAAGTGGTCATTAAAACAAAAGAATTGTATTGTGTTTAACATGTTTTTCGCTAATAAGAGGTAACATTCAGGCTACGTTCATATAGATACTTGAAGAATAAGTATCATAAATGTTATTAAATGTAGTCGTCCATATTGTTGGGTCAAGAAGAAACTATTCCAAATAACGTTTGCTTTGTCTTTACATGGACAATGAACTGTGGCCTTACAAAATTAACTTTTCGCAAAAAAAAAAGAAGAAACAAAAAAAAAAGAATCACAATATTTAGAATGAAGGAGAAAATATAAATAATTTCCATATAAATAATTAGGAAGTTTTTTGAGCTCTCATTTTATAATTTTTTTAAAATATACGCGGTCTGGTATCATGATTCATGCTGGCAAATCAGATGGTTAATATCTTTTTAAAATAACTGTTAGTGAAAACAACGACAAGTGTGCTTGACAATTTCATCTTCTATGTGACGATCCTCATTTTTGTAAACCTAAGCGTGTGTAATCTAGAGTTTTGAATTACAGAATCATTTGAAGAAACACGCACGTTCTGGTCGCATCACTAACTCGTACAGATAAGCTAAGAAGTAACACGAATTATAGTCACGACATTATTGCATGACCTATTTCCCATATCATGATATGCATCAGACTTCCTCTAGAAACGTGAAACATAAAATAGTATTAGCAAAATTTTCAGAAAAAAAGACTATAAAACGCACTTTATTTCTATCTGGAAAGCTCATTATTTCCTGACAGGATTTCCTGTTTGTTTTCTTTCACTTCAAAACCTTCGCGAAAGCTTGCTGGTTGGTGGAGATTGTAAGTAGTGATGCTACACGATTGCTTGAACCTTGGGGTCTTGAATGAACGTTGGACTGAGCTTTACAACACATCTGTTTACAAGCAAACGTCCCGCACAAGCTAGTAAACACCACAAAAATTATTCTTCCTTTGTCGGTTTTCACCATCAAATCTTTAGGGCTGGGTGTGGTCTAGTAGCGTGTGTGCCGGGTTATGAATTCTAAGATTTAAAGTTCGCAACCCGTTTCCGCACAATTATGTTCTGCACTTTGGGGTAGTGTGAGCGCTATTAAATGGCTGTCAAATCTCACTATTTAGTCAGACAAAATTAGCCCAAAAGTTGGCGCTGAGTGCTGTTAACTATCTGTCTTCCCTTTAGTCGATCGATTCAAAATTAGCGGACAGCTATATTTTGTGAAGCTTTGCGTGAAAAGTCTGAAAGAAACAAACACATAAACTTTATACCTACCTCCCCCCTGTCAGCGAGTATTACTACCTACACTACAATAATATCGTATCATAATGAATAAAGTTATTGACAGTTTACCAACGGTAATGAGAAATAACATATATTTTCTAACAGTACTGAGTAGTATAATATATATATGTGCTTAATGGTAAAATGTTATTGGAGTTATCGCAGTGGGCGTGGTGTATTGGAAAATACCCTATAACACTTACTTAAGGACAAGAACTAAACCCTTCACCCATAAGGTGTAACAACTCAGGTTATCAGAATCAAATATTCTTGACAGGTGGGAGTCTTCTAAGGGGGGTGGAAGCACTTGTATTCAAATGGTTAGTTGTTATTTTTATCTTAGGCTATCGTTTACTATCGAATAAGATCTTAGTGGTTTAGTGTGATTACGTTTAAACGGTTAAGTATGACTCTAGTTATAAGAAGCTCTGAGTTAAAGTGGGTGAGCGAATGGTAGCTACAGCACGTATCTTTTGAGTTATCGATAGCCATATTCACTTACTGTGTTACAGATTGTCGGACAGTACATTTCCAAAAATCTCACTTTGTCCCTTGCCATGTTTCGTGCTTAGACATTTCATTCAAGATATTTGAGTTTATTCTGTAAAAAAATATTCAAACTAAAATTAAAAGTAATTTTATTGTGAATT